CCGAGGCTGTCTGGGTGGGAGCTGCATGCCTTTGTTTTGAAACGAAGAAGGGCCGATTTCAGATTCCCTGGAGGCCAGAGCAAAAAGAGGGTGGGTGGGAGAGGTCAACGGGATGTTTGCTGGGCGGGGAGGGGGTCACTTGGAGGAGACGGGGTGAGTGCATTGGGGGCTGAATAAAAGAAAGGACAAGGAGACCCCTCCCGGGTGGGGTCTTGCTCCTCCCTTCGTTTCTATGGGTCCTTTTTTTTCAGGAGAAAGGCAGATTTATTTCAAATAAATAAATACATTTGATCCGCATTTTCCAGTCCCGGAGCTGGGGAAACAAGCCGGACAGCGGTCAAGTTCAAAAGCCCGATCTGGAACTTGGCTAAGTTACTTTTGGGCATCTTAATTCACAGCGTGATTTCAAAAAACCCAGAACGATTCGTTACTGCCCCTTAGTATTATACGAGGATCAGGGAGATGAAGGGGGAGCCTGGCTTGGTTCCCTATTAAGAGTTACATTACATTTGGGCAGGGGCAAGGAAAAGGGGGCGCAACCCTCTTTGGCATTGGTTTATAAAATAAAAAAGCAGCCCCTCTCCGAATATTTACAAAGTGCCAGACGGGAGCCATATACAGATCGCCACCGCCCACGAGTATCCGTGGATCAGCCACAATTAACACTACTGCCCCTTCGGCCCGTACCTCTCCAGCCACGAAAAACAGGAGCGGGACCTCCTCATCTTTGGCTTTGTATTTAGCAATTATTTTCTCTGCGATGGGCTGGATTAACTGTTTGGCAGCCTCCGATTCTCCGTCATCGTCCGAATCTGTGGAAGGAAAACGCACGAGCAAAGTTCATACGGAACCAAAAAAGAGCGTGTTTCGCCAGCGACCCCATAAACGAGAGCCATGGGCCGGACGCTGCTGAAAATAAAAGCTTAGGGACACACACCGGTTTCAGGTACAACTGCAATCCCTGCTGGATTAAAAACGTGAGCAGACTTCAAGATTCTAGTCCTCATTTTTTAAAAAAAATTCAAAGCCCTTCTCCTGGCATCAAAACATCCATGCAGGATGTGTTTTGAGCTGTGCAAAAGCTGATTTTTGCAGCCAAGAGGTTCTCCTGTGGTTTTTTTTTCCCTATGTTTGTGGAAATTCTGGGATACATTTGTTTATTATTGGTACACAATTATTTGCCTGCCACAATGTTACAAAGAAACACCCCACCAGGCTTAAAGCCTCATGTTACAAAGACACACACCAAATACTGTAACAGCAAAAGCTACAAACAAAAAGGATTAAAGTGGATAAAAATACAGTAATAATAAATAAACCAATACAAACATCCAGGTCAATCCAGGGAATTACCTCCCTGACGGGAACTGAATATTAGTCATTGAACTGGAAGATAGAGAAAGACAGAGGCGGGGCACATTCCAGCAGAAGGCGGAGCTAAAGATATAAGGCGGGGCCAAGAGTTAGGAAGCGAACTGTGTCCCCCACCAGGGACAGCCCGATTCTGGGCATGTCTACTCAAGAGCAAGTCCCACTGAAACCATTTCATGGGTGGCAAACGAGAACCCAGAGTCCGGCTCTGTGCAACCCACTTCCTGCTCCTGAGGTCAGGAGATACACAAGCCCTATTCCAGCCTCAAGCAGAGCACCCCACTCAGCCGCGGAAGCCCACAGGAGGATCTCAGCCCAGCCCCAGTGGCTCAGCCTGTCCCGCCTCACAGGGGTGCTGTGTGAGGATGAAGTAAGGGAGAGGAGGCCCCTCCTTCGGGTTTGAGTTTGCAGGTGGAAAAGCAGGACAGACAATCAAAATGGAGAAATAAGCACTTAGATTTTGGAAACCTGGCCAAGCTGCATCATCTATGTTTGGATTCAAAGGATAAAATTTTAATAATTATGAGATGATTCTTTCCTTCCTCCAACCCCCCCTCCAAAGACAGCTGGAGGCTTTCCAGATCTTTTGCCCAACCCTCTAGTAGCCAGAGACCAATTCTGATATCTTTAGAAATATATGTTTCTAGGACTTTTAATATATTAGTGCATCAGTGGATAGCGATCCCGTGGATAAGGGAGGTCCCTACTGTACATGGATTCTGGCTCCCTCTAGCAGCAAAATTCTGGGGGGGGTTCACCTATTGTTTTCAGGCAGAAGATAAATGAATCAGTGGATACTATGAGGAGTCCTACTGTATTATCGTTTTACTTCATCTGCCTTTTCATTATGAAGAAGAACAGGAAACTGGGGGAGGGGGGGAGAAAGGCTCATTTAAAATGATTCTAATGGTTTTTGGGTTTCCTTTGCTTTTTGTGACGCTAGCTGCCCTTCTCTGTTACAAATGTAAGAAGCGAAGTTAATAAATAAATCCCATCTGGTCGATACTTAACGGGGGGGGGGGGGGGAAGACATCACACATCTAACGGCGTAAATAAATAAAACGGCACTGTTTAAAGGGGAGGGAAAAAATCCAAAACTGTGTTTAAAGACTCAGCGATTTCCAGACGGGAGGTAATAACCCAAATCCATTTATCTAAGATTTTCCATAGACTCAGGCCTGGATTTTTGCAAAAAGCGTGTAATTTAATCGGCTCGGCTCGCGCATCTCTCCCCCCGTCTGGTCATAAAGAAATCTTGGAAGGTTTCTCCAAACAACTGAATAAAAGATATATAAATTAAAGACGGCACAGAAGCTTTTTGCCTTTTTTTTTTTTAAGGTCAAGGTCTTTTTTCTCGGTGTGAGTGAGTGACAGACACCCGCTTCGGGGATGGGGGCAGGGGGTTTTCGTTACACCATGACAACGGCACGGGGGGGGCTCCCCGCGGCACGTCATGGCAACCGGGTTGCTCAGCCGAGGGGCAGGCGGCACAAATCGGCCCCTCGAGACCCAACCTTTGGTGATGGTTTCCTGGATGATCCTTCCTGCCAGCAAGCTGTTCCCCCCACAGGGGAGAACAGGAGATAAGGTAAGGACCCCCATCCAGAGTCCTCTGTCATTAGCAAAACAGGCTCCCCCCCATCCATCATCACCACCCCCAAGGTTGCGGGCTTATTTCCTCCAACCGGAAAGAGGAAATACGAGCAGGAATTAAGGCCATTTCCCCAATGAGCGAGATTTGAATACAGAGCAGGAGGGATAACAGATTCAGCCACTGTATGTATGGGTTTTCTGGCCCCCCTGCTTTCTGACTCGTCAAAAGATAACTTTTGCAGGAACCTTTTGCGGCGTCAAAAGCTCCTGAAAAGGATCCAACGAGGGGCAGATCAGATTAGAGGAGGAGTGGATGGTAATTTCTTATTCCTTTTCCAGTAAGTTTCCTCGTTTTCCTCTTCCCGTCTCCTCTCTCTTTCCTTTTCCATCATGCCCTTTTTCAGGGACTGCCTTGGTCTTGTCTTGTTGATCAGTTTAATTGACTCCCCCCACCCCCACCCCCCCCAATAACTCAGAGAATGCTTTAGTGCTCAAAGAATAAACCAACATGCAAGTAATCCAGAATAAATTCACAAAAGAAGTTCCGGGAAAATGTAAAAAAATTAAGCGAGGAAATGAGCAGGGTAACTGAGGAATCGGCGGGGGTGGGTGGCGTTCGGCCCGTCTTCCTTCTCCTTTTCGGCCCCACTTTACCCTGCGCAGAAAATGAGGTGAAACAAAATACAGAGATTTCCCCCCCCATAACTCTTGGGGGGAAAGCAGCCGTCCCGAAGTTGAGGGGATAGAGAACGCTGTACACGCTTGTGCGTCTCTGGCGAGGAACGGAAAAGCTTATTCTAAAAGCCCTTTGTGGATAAATGCCGTTTCACAAACGATCGCCCATTACAAGCGAGATCAGACTTAAAAGCCAATGAATTCATTAAGTGGGCGAGTTTTATGTCCCCTCCCTGTCCGAATGTCGCTGATTCTAACCCAGAGCCGTCGGGGGGTCTCAGATGTCCGCCCCGTACAAAAGCGAGGGAACCGGCCCGACGCTCCAGGGGGTGACAGCCACCGGCACTCAGACACAGCTGGAAACCGCGATCAAGAAAGGCGAGGAAAAACCAGCGAGCGTCACACACACGGCGTTCCCATTGTAAGAATACTTATCTGACACATTTCGACCGCTCATCCTATTAAGGGACAACGCCCCCCCTCCGGGGCGGGCCAAGGGGATGTCGTTCGGCCTCTCCTCGACAGGGGCGACACCGCCTGCGATTTGGAAGCTCACGTCCGCCATTTAGCCGATAGGAAAGGTCATTGCAAGGGTGTGTGAATGGAAAAATTGACGAGAACCCCACCCGCCCACCTCATTTAATCGCCCACAGAATACAAAACACAGCTTTTCAGTCCTGAGGACTAGGAACTTTTCCAAGAACAGGAAGGTTTCCCCCTACCTACGAAGAGAACGAGGCAGGGACCCTCGTTCAGCTGCACCGCGTTGGACTCGGTCAGCTCCAGGACAGGCTTCGGGTGCCAGGGGAACTCCCGGCATTCGATGTCGTTCAGAACCTCCACCCGTCCTTGTCGCGTGATGATCTCCCCCTTGGCGTCCAGGATGACGAGCGTCGGGATCCCTGAGTTGAAGAAACAAGCCACGGAGAGAAAGGTGAGCCAAGAGGAGGCAGGAAAAGAGGGCCCGGAAGAATTAAGCGGGGGCGAAATAAAGATTTAAAAGCATAAAGTTAAATAAGGAGAGGAAAGCGGGAGCCATCATTGAGCGTGTGGGATGGCTTGCTTTGGAGTGAAAGCCCCCGGAGGTGGGAAACGGGTTAACTGTGCGAGGCAGTGCGGTTCAGAGGGGAGGAGGAACATTTTACTCTCTGCCAGGGGGGTGGCTGTCAGTCGGAGGAGCCCACAGCGGGCAGAACGGCCCGAGGGTTTGACCCCTTCGAAGGTGGGTCTCCCATAACATTCAGCTGGTCACACCGTCTTCTGTTCTTTTCTCCCACACACCTGGACATCCTTGGCCTGCCTCTCCTATCATCTTTCATGTCTCCTTTCCATCAGCCTTCCCTCTCTCCCTTCCCCCCCCCGCCCCTCCGGAACTCCCTGCCACCGCCTCAAAAGCATGACCCCTCGCCTGGAGACAGCCAGTCTGTCGCAGCCACCTGTGCCTCAGCTGTTCCCGAATCGGGTTTCCCCCTTGTGTGGCCAAGGGCCATCACGCTCTTGCTCGCTCGCTCGCTCTGATTCCCCGCTCGGCTACCTCCTGTCCCTCCTTCTGCAGTTCACGAAAACAGACCTCGTTTCTCTCAAGATGAAAAGCCTCACCAAGTAAAGCAAGATTCCCACACACACACCCCTCTCTGCTGCAAGGAAATAAGATTTTTATTTTATTTGCAAGTCTTGGAGATGTTTTGCACAAGACTTTTTCCTGCGCTTACTAAGGCTGGGACACCAGAAGGTTTTCTAAATTTACCCAAAAAAGGGGGGGTATCTTTTTTCACCTTCACAAGAGCCCTTCGAGGCAGGCCAAGGCAAACCAGAGAGACCAGCCCAAGGTCATCTTGCAAGTTTCATGGCCTGACCGGGATTAGAACCCAAAACAGAGACCATGATAAAGAATGAGACCAGTGCAATTTTCATCCGCCTTCTACAGACAGATGCCTCATGGCATCATTTTCTGAAGTCTGAATGATCCCCAATTTCCTCGATTTCCCCCTTTTTCCTGGAGTGTTATTCATGGTTCCATTCTTTTCCTGCTGTATCAGGAGATAGAGGAAACCGAACTCGGGACCTTCTGCAAACAAACCACCACCTCCTCCCCCACTGAGTTTTGCTCCTTTCAGTGGCAAAGGTATTGGGGGGGGGAGAACCCCTTTATCCCGGCTGTGGTGAATGGCTGCATTCAAGCATAACCAAATTAAGCTCCGGGTGGCTGGGCCCCAGTCCCTCTTTAGCCCTCCGATTCTTGCCGATAATTAAAAAAATAATAATAAAATGAAATAAAAACACACTCCCTCCGGGCAGAAGGCCAAGGGAACAAGGGACCTTGTCAGGGTCTCCGGTTTTGGAAACAGAACATACATACAAGGCACACAGAGCGAGGGGAAAGGGCCTCGTAATTCCCCCAAACATTGTGGAGGGAGTTGGAAAAACAAGGAGAAAGGTGACTTGAGGAGCTAGTCTTCTAAGAACGGGGCCCTTATTTTTCGCAAAACCCTGGGGCTCCCTCACAACGCCGAAACACCCAGTCTCAAGTAAAATCTCTGCTCCGTCTGGAGTCCCTCCTGTCACGCTCTGAGGTTGACCTTTTGGTTCTCCTTGTGGTCAAGGTCCTACAGATCCCATCAGCCCCACCCAAGCTTGGCCAACGGCCAGGAGTCACCCTAGCAGTTGCCCCTAACATTGCCCTTCGCCCGGAAAGCATTTCCCCATTGCCCTATAGACGGTGTGGGGCGGGTGGTGGTGGAAGAGAGCAACTTTCTCCCGTTCTGTAACCATCAAAGATTCAGACTACGACACCCAGTCTCCCCAACCAGTTGGGATTGATGGGAGTGGCAGTCTAAATGCATCTGGGCACCATCTGGTTGGGAAAGGCAGAAACGTGAGCCATTTCTTGTGGGTTTGGCCCTGGGCTTCTTCATTTCACATATTCCCCCGTCTGATTATTTTGGTCACATAAGACAGCAGCAAAAAAACCCTGAGATTTAAAAAAGAAAAAAAATCTCAGGGGGACTTTTTAAAAAACTTGTGGTGCAGTTATGCCCACAGAAGAGAAATGGCACAACGAGTCCTTATTTGCATTCCTAGTCTTGTGCTCAGCCTTTTGATCTGCACACAAGCAAGAAGCCAAGCAGGCACTCAGTAATTAACAGTGGCTTGTTATTATGAGTTATGCCATTTCTTTTCCAGCCATGTGTCACAACACCACAGGATTTTGGCCACTGACTGCCACATAATAACCAACGCTAACAAATTTGGTCTTAGTCAGTGGATTGTGCTCTTCTGCCCAATATTTCAAGTTTCTTTAGCCTGGGATCAGAAATTTTGCTGACAGCTCCAGCCACGTTCTTATCGGATGGAACATTTCCCACATCCCTCCGCTTGCCCTCTTGAAGGGGCCGCATTCATTTCAGAGTGCTACCATTCGGGCCTTCCATTTTGGTAAGGGACACAAATGTGAAAATGCCCGAAACGTTACGACCGACAAGAAAGAAAGAAAGAAAGAAAGAAAGAAAGAAAGAAAGAAAGAAAGAAAGAAAGAAAGAAAGAAAGAAAGAAAGAAAGAAAGGAGGTTTCCATGGAGGGAGGGGATCAAACGTGAAACAATGGAACAGAGCGTAGAAAACAGGACTCCGTTTTACCTTGGATACCATAGAGTCGGTTAAGCCGGGACCGCCTGGTTTCGTCGGCGTACGGGACTGCGAGCCAGGGCATTTCGCTGAAATACTGTTTAAATGACTCTTCTGACCTGGAAAAGATGAGGAAAAAAGGAAAGACATCAATCAGGAACAAAGCCCAGATTCTAAAACGAGGTCAGCCGCAAGCCAGATAGAAAGCACTTTGGATGAAACGGCCTCCACAGCGGCACCCTTCCCACAAAGACCCAGGGAACGGGCAAAGTATGGTTTTTATGGGTATTGTAAGAGGACTAGGAAAAAGTCTTGCCCCATGGTTTGAAGAAGCAAAATTAAACCCTAGGAACAGGATTGTAACCTCCTACTCACTTATCCCCACCCACCCCCAGCAGAAAACGGCCTTCCAGGCCTACTCTCCACGCCTAGCTTTTCCTTACCTGTCCGCGCTAACAAAGACGATCTCAAATTTTTGCCCGGCCTCCTTGATTTTCCGGTAGGATTCTACCAAGACCCGGGTAAGACTTCGGCAGGGAGGACACTGAAGACAAAAAGATGCAGAGAGATTGATAACTAAATAATCTCTATGTGGCCCTGTACGCAGCCTAGTCGCCTAGGGCGAGCGGAAATTGCCTGCAAAAATAAACAAATAGAATACTGGCTCCTCGCCCCCCACCTTGCATGTCACAAACAACTGGAATAAGTAGATGAGGATCCTTGTGGACTAGAAACTTTGTAGCTGCACAACAGGCAAAATCAATCTGGCGCAACTGCATCTCTTGTCCCCGCTGAAACACCAGCTCCCTTTATAACTTCCTGTGCATCAGAGACCAGTTGTTCCAACCCATCAAAACACATCACTTCACCACATTTATTTTGCTGAGCTGGGTTTGAATCTCTTATTTTCCAAAGGGCAAGAGATCTAAACGGAGCCCATCACTCACCCAGTGCGCAGAGAAGTAAACTCCGACATGGGAGCCCTCCAGGACGGCGCTGTCTTGCGACTGGCCGTTATTTCGGAGAAGCGGACCGGCGACCACCTCGTTGAACGGCTGGGGACCCCAAGGGAACTCCAGACCTGGAGGAGAGGTGAAGGGAGAAGAGGAGAGAAACACACAGAGATGTCACCAGGAACATCTTGGCTGTCCGGGGGGATAAAAATCCCCCAGCCCTCGGCATCCACAAATGTACTAGCTCGTGACCTGCATATTCTGTCTTCTGGCAACCTGGATTCTCTCCCACCAGAACCGGTTTCTCTCTTAAACTTTCTGCATAGCTGGAAGGTGCAGGAAAAGGGCTTGCCCAGGCTAGCTGGGGGATTATGGGCATTGTAGTACCAAAAAAAAGAGAGAGAAGAAACTTTTTCAAACTTTGAAATCATGGCTCCTGGAGCAGAGGGATTCTGGACTATGTAGTCCAACGAAGGAACATCTCAAACTGTTATTGTGGGCTGGCCACAAAGAGGAGGTCATGGTGACAGCCAGTCACGTTCTTAATTTTGGGAGTATGTTACTTGGGTAATGATACTCGGGAAGGAGATTGTGGCCATTTTTCTAAGTTCTGCGTGCATGGCAGTTTTTAAACTGATTCAACTCTTAAAACGAGACCTAACTTGGGAAATGTTACCCGCTAACCCGTTTATTAGAATAATGTTCCAAACTCTTGACAGCAAGGAAGTCAGGTCAACACTGATACAAAGAGAGGCCTTTTCATTAATACAGACCTGGACGAAGACTTCTGTGCCATCCAGAAGCTTGCAGAATTCAGCAGCCAAAGAGGTATCTTTCTTATTTTTTGAAGAAGAATAAAGAAGGGGGAAAGGCAGCACCTTTCTGCCTTTCGAATCTGTATTCCAGCCACCTCCTGAACAGTCAGTCTTTCCTTTTATTCCATTGTGGAAATTTGCAAGCTTTTGGAGAGCACAGAACTCTTTGCCCGAGGCTCAGTTATGAAAAGTTCTGTCCTTCATAGGACCGTAATGAAGGCTGACCCAACTTGCATGGATGGGCTTTATATCCAAAAAGAGAAGAAGAAAGAAAAAAAGAGGAAAAAATATCAGATTGATCATAACTTTTCCAAAGTTACTTGTTACTTTAAGAGTTTAACTGCACGAAAACATTTTTTTCAAAAGCCTTTATTAGGCCAGCAAAGGTGGGGTGGGTGGGAATCACAAAAATACACCCAACATTTTTACATCCTCTGCAACCTTTATTAGGCCAGCAAAGGTGGGGTGGGTGGGAATCACAAAAATACACCAAACATTTTTACATCCTTTTCGAAAGAAAAACCACAAAAATATATGGAATACTTTGAACCTGTTGGATCTTTACGGCATACCCCTCTCACGGAAGGAAGCCACCTCGAGGTCTCGAAAGCTTCTTCACATTCTTGAGTTAGCCCAATAAAAAGTATTCCCGCAATACTGTCCTTATCTCAAGCAGAATTCTTCTCTGCTTTTTATGTATGCCTTTTTTAAAAGGTGCATACGTATTTCCGAAACATGAGATCCTCAAAAAGCCGAGGAGCAGGAGGGAGGATTTTTCCGACAGGGAATCTGGCCTCTTCTCCAGAACCGCTCGGCCTCCCAAGGCTTTGCCTCCATCTTTGCTGAAGGATCAAAAGAAGGACAGATGCTCCTTCCACCCCAAAACCGAAGTGGCCGCAAGGGAGCCCCCCCTCCCCCAGCGGGGCAGGCCAAACCTTACCGTCTGGGTCATCTTGAATTACTAGAAGGCCGTTCCGGCATACCACCTTCCCGGTGATCGCATCTATAAATATCAGAGAAGGAATGTTGGAGACCCGAAACTTGTTCCAAAGTTTCAGCTGGAAAGAGACGAAGGGAAAACAGAGTTACATTAGCAGGCGGCAGGAGGAGAAACCTAAATTAAATTTTCGAATGTTCGCTCTCTCCCGGTCCGGACTCCCTCGCAGTCCAAATTCAACCCTGTTTGTTTTTCCTTGGTTTCTATGTCTATCTTTTGTTTTTCTTGCGTTATTTCTACAGCACCAAGAATAATCGTTCTACACTCTAGTTTGATCGCGCGTAGTTGCCAGACGCCGTTCAATCTATTTGCTGAACAGCCTTGTTGGTAGTTTACAGGGTATTTTTCGATCCAACGTATCATTTCGCATGATCTGGGCCCTACAGGGCCTCAGGGTGTGCTCTTGAGTCCATGAGTTCCACAGGAGAACAGGGCAGGGAAATAAGACCGCCTATTTTAAACCAGATGTTGAGTGGCTGTGTCATCTGAGAGAAAATAGAAAAGTGTAATTCAGCCGCTTTGGCTCAACTATTGCTCACAGTGGAGAAAAAGTATGCCTGCATTTAAATATAAACAGAAATATAAGTATATATATATATCTTTCCAGTGTCTCTAAAGGATTTTTAAAATGGATTTTCCATGGTCTTTGGAACCGCGCACGGATGTATTTGCAAAGGCCCGGCCAGATCGTCCACCGTCCACTTAACGATGGTTAAATCCTTCTGTTTGTTTGGCCAGACACGGCAACCTCCAGCCCACGGGGGGGGGGTAGGATCGTGCTTGGGTTGCG